TGCAGAGACAGGGGTGTTGCTATCTTGCCCAGGCTGGTCTCAACTCCTGGCCTCAAGGATCCTCCTGCCTCGGGCCTCCCAGAGAGTTGGGTTACAGGCATGAGCCACTGCACCAGCAGGTCCATTCTTAAAAATCCTGCATCTGCTTTTTTTCAGCTCAGAAATGTGGATATCTTTTCATATCATACATTTGTCCAACTTATCTCTTTTAATTGGTTTATTGTTTTCCTTTTATCTATATAGAGATGGGGTTTCACTATGTTGGCCAGGCTGGTCTTGAACTCTTGACCTCAAATGATCCACTCACCTTGGCCTCCCAAAGTGCTGGGATTACAGGCGTGAGCCACGGCCTTGGCCTCACTGGTTTCATTTTAAGAAGAGGATACTATGCTAGGTGTGGTGGCTAACACCTGTAATCCCAGCACTTTGGGAGGTCAAGGCAGGCAAATCACTCGAGCCCAAGAGTTTGAGACCAGTCTGGGCAACATGGCGAAACTTCGTCTCTACCAAAAAAATACAGAAATTAGCCGGGCATGGTAGTGTGTGCCTGGTGTCCCAGCTGCTCAGGAGGCTGAAGTGAGAGGATTGCTTGAGCCCGAGAGGTCAAGGCTGCAGTGAGCTGTGATTGTGTCACTGCACTCTAGCCTGGGTGCAAAAAGAAGAGGATACTACTTCAAAGCTCTCCAGGGATTCTGATGTACAAACAGCGTTCACAGTCATTGCATAAAGAAAGCATGAAGTTATATGGAAGGAGCAGAGTCTTACACAGTATTTTGGGGGTTAGAAACTGTCAGCTGCACTAATATTTTAAATTAGTGTGTTATGAACAACTGCATTTGGAATACAGCCAGCTCAAACTCCAGAAGCCACACTGAGGTCTTGATAGTGTTGAAGAACCAAGAATTTAACTCTGGGGGGAGCGAAAAAAGGGAAAAGAAAAAATAGAATTCTTGTAAGTTGATTATAAATTCCCCTACATCTGATGTGAGTAACACTGTGTACAATTTATAGACTTGGCCACCTCCTATAGTGGCTATGTTTTGTGACTTCTCACAACTACCTAAAACAGGCTTCACAAATTTCGATGACCACACTAACAAGCAGCTCTACAATTCAGATGAGCAAACTGCAGAAAGGCAACCAGAAAGCAAGAAAGTCTTTATCTGTTTTCATTGGATAGGCTGATACTTACTGAGCACTTACTGTATGCCAGGTGTTGTTCTAAGAATGGTGCATGCATTAACTCTTTTATTCCTGGCAGGAAAATAAAAATAGAGATATCTGTCACTTCTCGTTGAAGACAGGGCACAGCCAAATTCAAACTCACAAGAGACCTTCCTCTCTGCTCTATTCATGAGCCAGCCAAAGCCAAGTTCCCGTTTGCTAGTTCATAAATTCAGCTTCCTCAGCCCGCAGAAGGGCTTTACTCTACAGACCCCAAAAGAATGAAGAGTTTTAGGCCCACAGTACTTACTTCCCAGATTTCCCTT